AGTCACACTGGAAGACATGGACTGACTCAAACCCCAAACACCATCCGTCCATTTTCCGTCACGCTTATTCCAGAAGGGGTCCCAAGGCTGCTGCCTATCTCCAGCTGTCTATGTGCAGTAGGCGGGGTAAACCCTAGACAGGTCACCAATCCAAACAACATGAATACCAAAATAACTAAACGAACATATACAGCACTTACTGTTTCATCTATACATTTTATTTTATAGATGGGGAAAAATATTCCAATATATAGTGATATTGCAATATCCTGATAATATTGTATCGTTTTCCCAGACCCATGCCAAAACTCACCCCTAGATTAAACTGAGGTTTAATAACATTTAAACCACTTCTAAAAGTAGTTTGGATGCAACAGAGGTCATTTAGGGATATATAAGGGAAAGGGGCTGAGTGCAAAATGCATGGCAGGTTTTTTATGTTTTTAATTGTAAATGCAAACTCTTTCATTTTTTCACCCCTTCCACTTAAAGCTATGCCCTGCTTTGTGCTGGTCTATCATATAAAATTCAGATGAAATATGTCAAGATGAAGAGTTACAAATGTCTGTATGAGAGTGGGGATTTTTGTTTTTGTTTTTTTGAACCATTCGACCCCATTCTGACCTTGACTTGGTGTTGAGTCATTGGTCCGACATAAAACCCTCCACATCCCAATGTTGTAACAACCGAGGGCCCCCATCCTGTTTCACTCCCACCAGTTAAGCCCCGTCAGTGCAAACAAACACCACCGTCCACGCAGAGATTAGCCTCCTGTGTTTCCACAGGGATATAAAGGCATTGTCATTAGCAGCATCCTTGTTTGGAGAGCATGTGAAAACAGCTCGCCACCACATTGCTGAGTCGTCATTTTCCCCATGTTAGATGGGAATATTTTGTTTCGCATTTCAAAGGCCCTGTCAAGATTTTTTTCCATTTGGCCTTTTTTTCATTTCTGCTGACAGATCAAATATTTGATTGCATTTAGAATAAAAGGCACAAAAACACAGATCAGCCACTTGTCATAAAGCTGTTTGAGAAGAACAGAGAGTTTGTCTCAAAGTTTAGCTTAGCATAAAGTTCCTTAAGCTTGGTTACATTTCAGTACTAGAATTTAAATGTTTTTGCAAAATTCTAGAGAAAAAACAGCTTGTGTGAACATCCCAACATTAACTTTTCTCCTCTTCACAGGATGTCAGTTCTGGACTTTGTGACAAAACAATTCAAGGTTCAATCTCAATCAAATTCTCTGCTTCTAATTGCAATCAGAGATCATTTATTAGTAAATAGAGTATTAGACAGCTGCAAATTTAAAAAGATATTATTATTTGCTTAAATTGATGAGGGGAGCACTAATTAGATCAGTAGCTAAAATGGTAACTCTGGAGGAGCTGCAGACGTCCACAGCTCAAATTAGAGCTGTAGAAGCTATTCATGTCCTCTCCTGTTGTGGGAGAGTGGCTTTAATAAAATCAATGTTTCAGAAAGCAATAAAATATATTACTTAATGTTAATGCTGCACATCACCCTAAACTCATCAGGTAACTTGGTGGAGAAACGGTCCTGCTGTGTGGAGGTTTTCATTCTGCAGGGGGGAATAAATCTTGTAGATAAGTAGGTGGTGCTGGAACACAACATCCAGGCTTCTAATACACAGAGATTAGGGGGAAACGGTGGCAACTTTTTAAAAAGTTTACATTAGTTTTTAGATATTTACAGACATGCCAAGTCTCCCGGAAGTTCCGGGAGTCTCCCTGATAGAGATAGTTGTTCACGGATGCCTGTGAGTTGGATAAATAATCGCAGATTTTAGATTAAGCAAGGTGGTGTTTTTTTTTAATGCAAGTGAGAACGTGCAGGCAATACAATAATTCATGCACCATGTGCAGATTAGAACTACTGTTATTGCACAGACACAATTTCAATAAGCATATCCCTGAAATGAGTTTTTTGAACTTGGGATGTCTGTATTTATTCACCAATTTATGTATTTATTTACTGCAGTTTGATTTTTTTTTCCTCATTTATTTTTGGATTATTATTTCCAGCTATTAATCACTTCTATAGACTTGTATTTCCTGGTTGTTGTTAAATGTAATCTTATTTGTTTTTTACACCTGAGGTTTTTGGGAAACCTTACATTTCACAAGGAATCAATATAGTATTTATCTATCAATCTATGTGACTAATGAGGCTGACTGATATTTCTAGTCGACATCATTGATTACGTGGATTTGTTGCCTCTGTTGTGAACTTTTTCAAACCATCATTATTTTTAGCCTCAAACTATAAGCCATCATTTCTGACAGCCTCTAGTGCTTCATATTGTGCCCACTGTGCACCAGTCATGACTATTTCCTCTTCTTTCATCACCATAGCTACCAGCAAAATATAGGAAGCAGAAACAATGAACAGATGATGGTCTGAATATCCTGGTTACAGTTGTTAGGATGTTGTTCTTTATGCAGCAGAATGAATTTCTAGGCCTGTCCTTTTTCTGTGGGCTCTCTGCTTTACAGATGGGTCTGTGATTTCATTACTGGAACTAAAGACCTAAATGCTTTTCTGTTGCACTTTTTGCATGGTTTTATAAGTTGGCACAAGATCAGCTTCTCTTATGCAACCCCGGGTAATTTGACAGAACTGATAAATGAAATAAGTTAAACCATCATGTTGTGCAGCATTAAACTGTTATAACTTGATTCCTCTCGATGTTGAGACTTTTTCATCTTTTCTTTTTTTGCTGTACCCTTTAGTCTATTAGTCATCTGCATTATGTTGTTCTCCTTTAGGTTTGATCAGAATGGTGCAGGTTGACCTCGACCTAAAATACAGGACCAACATCAGGGACCTTTTCCAGGAATTTGACAAGTTTCCTCCAGGAGCAGTCATAGGAATCGCAAGAGAGATGCAGCCAGTCTACAGGTAAATACACTCATCTAGAGGAAATACGATTAGTCAGAAAAAACAAACAAAGACAACGGTGTGTGTGTGCGCGCATGTATGCATATATATGTCTCTGTATATGTATATACACTCACCGGCCACTTTATTAGGTACCCCATGCTAGTAACGAGTTGGACCCCCTTTTGCCTTCAGAACTGCCTCAATTCTTCGTGGCATAGATTCAACAAGGTGCTGGAAGCATTCCTCAGGGAGTTTGGTCCA